GGGATAATTAAATCATGAGGGCTTTATAATTAGAATGTCAAATTAAATGTTTATTGAACATTTAAAGTAAATATTTAAATTTTTATAGATAGATTTCTCTGCAATTATATAAACATATTTGTACAAATTCGTTAAATGCGTTTAACATAGTTTAATTATTAGAGCTGTCCAATTTTATAATTACGTATATTTTAAGGATTAAGATTTATTTATTCGATAATAATAATTAAGTGATTTTATCAGATTTGCATGACATGGCGAAGTACATAGGTGTATAAATAGACGTGTGTCGAAATATTCATGCAACATCGCTCTTCACGGTGGAGTCTGACTCACGCTGGATATTTTTTTGAAGCGAAGAATTTGTACAGGGCGCTCTATTCTGCATCCACCCCGGCTTTGCACAGAGACGTTCCTCGGTCCTGTTACCTCGTTGCAAAACGTCCACCCACACATTGCCTTAGACTGTAGGTATATACAGGGTGTCAGGAGAGTGCACTGATCGTTGAGGATGGCTCTTAGCGATGTCTAGGAAGCTACTGGAGATATTTTTTAAAGATTTAGTTTCTCGTTAACACGCCGACTTTAATCCTTCTCAAGTGAGATTATTCAACTAATGTGAAATAGGAAATTATTTCGATGGAAGGAAACATGCGCGAAGTATCATTTTTTTTTCGTGGTTTTATTGCCCACGCTGTCGTTTCTTGCAGCGGTACTTAATACAAAAGTGCAATTCAGAAATCCTGATTACCGAGATATTGTAAAGACTCCTTTGTTATACATTTACTTTATTTCGCATTTGCACAGTGGCACAGGCAGAAACTTCAGAATGTTCTTCGTTGACAAAGCCCCTGTCTCATTTATCGCATTATAGCGAAAGGTTCCCTTTGCATTCAAACACACGGCGGAGACATACATCAACTTCTTGCTCGTTCTACCGACGAAAGATCCATTCATTTCTTCATGCAAGTTCCCACCAAATGCACGCTGAATCGTTTCTCGATTCTGTTGTTCCGTCGTGACATGATGCATTTAACACAATGCAGGTATTCCGCGATTTAATTCAATGGTATGTTATGTGCCGCATAAATTTATGATTTTGCCCGAAACAATTAATACTGGGAACAAGAAGGAAATTAGCAATAACAGTAAATTGAAAATATAAGTTGTAAGCTATAGAATATAAAAATTTTTTAAATAAATTTAACGTAAAATAAAATAATTAAAAATTTTTTAATATAAATTCCATTGTTTTAATTCCATAAGTCACGGATGATTGGTGCAACCGTATTTTATGTGGCATTTAATCACACTCTGACCTTTATCGCCGTGAAATCATACGAGGGAGTAAAAAAAACAAAAAATAATTTTGCCCGGAGGCACGGACTTTTAATCATCTGCATCGTGTGATCGGCATGCAAAATATGAATGACGAAAATCGATGAGGAATATCGAATGGGAATTCATAAATAATTTATTCGCGACAGTTCAACTAATATGAATAGCACAACGTCAACTGAGTATATATGTGTAACAATAATATCATTACGAATGCGGTATATTTCGTGACAAAACTAACGGAGTCATTCATTGATGAATATATTCATGATTATTTGGTCTTAAGTGACGAGCATTCCGAGTCACAGCGTGATGATCATAATAATTAAATTGCTCACAACAATCTTGTGATATAATTCTTAACTTGTATCTTTTTTTTCGTGATTTTTTTATTTACTAATGTTATAAATTAGGAGATTTTTTTATCTTCTTTGTTTTCAAGAAATTTTAAATTTTTAAAAATGAGATTTTAAACATTTTGGCTTGATTATTCTGACAAAAAAAATGTTGCCGAACTTTAACTATATAAAATACCGATTTTGTTTGCGGCTGCACGTAAGCACCAGGAGGCGTAATATATTGAAGAGAGTACAATTTCGGGCTGGATCTCCCGGCTATGATTTCATTAAAACTTCGTAAGACTTTATCCAACAGAAACGTGTCCGGGAGCCAGTAACGGTTACCAAACTCGGTTTGGACGATGGCTATAAAGATTGAATATATGATAATATATGTATAATACTCTCTTCTCTTGGTACTCACGCTTGAATATTATCTTAAAATTTTCAGCAATTTCGCAACTCATACTTTCCAATATGTTGATTTTATTTATTATTTATTTTTTGTCACCAAGTAATCGTGGTTATATATTATATTATAAAATTTTATCCGCAGAACATGAACTTATTAAAATTCGCCCTGCTACATAAAATTCCATGTTAATTCTTCTTAACAGCTATTTGATTTTCTGAAAATATCCGCAGTTTGTTATCGTGCAGATCGAGACGGAAGGTTTTGCGCAAGGTTTGCAACGTATTTCCAAACTCATTAACCGGAGCGGCTGCGCCAGCTAGAAATTTCTCGAGGCTTTTCAGACACCCGCACTTGATAAAACATTTTCCCGCGAAGCACAAGCGTGGTATATCGATGTTTGGATTAGCTAGCGTGAAAATAAAGGTCGCGTTGATTTATATCGGGAATGTTTCATAAATTGTGCACGACGTGTTTGGTAAAGCATCCAGTAACGCTGAATTTTTACTTTAAAGCTGTTATGATTCTTTAATCGCAGTGTAAAATGCTGCTGTTGTTGTTGCTGATTGTTGTCGTTTGCTTTGAATAAAGCAGCGTCTTTAAAAATTTAATTTACTATCTAAAATTACTAGCGACAATGAACTTTTTCATTGCGCTGTTATGCATTGCACTTGTATCGTGAAACTCTTTCGAGAGCGACATAAAGAAGCATCACGCTAGGTCGTTTTACGACGAAAAGTTAATAATTAAGACCGCGTACATTTCGAGTGTAAGAGCGCAAGTAAACGAATGAACAAGGCTCCGGGTGTTCGTCGGACCCCGTAAAACTCGATGTTGATTGCAATCGATACAGTCGCGTTGCTTTTTACGGCGGCGAGCGTGAATGGAGTTCCTATCCGCGTTGCTCGGTCGCTTCATTCACACGTCGCGTCGGGTGAATGTTACGTTCGATTCGCATTCATTCGTTCCGAGTGGCTACCGCAAACAGCACGGCGTCTATCGTTTTTCCCATGTCCCCCACGACGCAGCGATGCGCTTATACATATGCATGCACCTGCAGCACCGGTAATCCTAGTTCGATTTTTGCCTCGCGTTAAAACACGCTTCGATAAGTCTCGGACGCTCGCTGCGTTTTATTAATTCTTGAACAACGAGGCGGCTAGAAATATTTTAGCTATAGCGCTTACGAGACAGCGCTATAGCTACTACTGTAGTTGCACTTTTAAATCGCACGCGATGCGTATTTATAGAGTGCCAACCATAGACATAGGCTAGATGCGAGCATTTGCTCGTGACAGTGTTGCGAAATTTCGGCCGCAAGGACGAGCACGCTGTTCACAGTTTAGTCTCTTCAAAGTGATATTTTTTTATTGTGTTGACATTTCCGATGTATTTTTAAAAGTGAATTACACACATTGCTTATTATTAGAAAAAACTAAAGTAAACCACAATGTTAGCACGGTGTAAACAACACATGGCAATGGAGAAAGTTAAATGCTGGCCTGTATAGCAAGACTTTTCTTTGTTTCAATTGTCCCACGTTTGCGAGAAACTAACATGACACGGTATTTGTGAATAATATCAAGTTGCAAACACTAGACTGGATTGCAGAAGTAAAAAAAGTGTTTTAATAAAAATATATAAATATAAATTCTTGAAGAAATTTTAGATTTTGCAGTAGAATATTTTATAAAGAATTTTCAACGTTAATGTAATTAATTTAATGTTTATTATATTTTTTTATTATTGCTTTATTACGTATTGTATTATAAAAAATTTTTCTTTTCAATGATGAAAGTTAAACCTCATAAAGCAGCTCGGATGTCTGAAAAATATATGTGGAAAGACGAACTTAGCTCATTCGTCGAGCCGGAATTTCCTGTCGGTGTGTTCTGGTTCACCGATTTCCTGGTTCTTCGTTATCTTCCTTTTATGCGCAGCGCGACGACACGTAGAACATACCTAGTACTGACATTTTATAGAGATTACTTATGTAGGGAGTGTATAAAGTACATTGTTTTCAAGTATCTTCTTTCCAATGTTCCGTGAGAATCTGCTTATAAAGAATGACTCTGTATTTTAATCCGCTATCATTAATACATTTCCTGAAAAAATCGAGTAATTATAATATAATATAATGAATAAAATTTTTATATATTATATATTATATATATATTATATAAAAATTTTATTCATTACAAATCTTTTTACAACATTTCAAGACGGTATTGTGAGACTCTAAAATATGATTGAATCTGAACGCTTTCTTTAAGATATTTATTATAAACAATAATTAACACACAAAGCATTGTGAACAGGCTTAAGTGCAAACAGGCCAGCAATCTTATTTTCTTCAATGCACTGCTCGATGTTTACAAGTGCCGTTGGCAAACTTCCTCGTTTGGATGCTGCCATGAAATTGGAGGGAAGGAATACGAAACGAATCGCGAGAGGAATTCCTAATCGCGAGGGGACAGGAGGCTACAACTTGGTAGTTGTTGGTTGACTCGATTTTATCCTCGATTTGATAAATACCAACTCCTTAGAAAGGAAGCGTCGTGTTACAGCTGAATGGCTTTGAGGAAATGTCTTTTACCCGAATGTAATTTTAATTCAGTGAAACGCGCATGTTGAATACGCGATATAGAATGTTCAAGTAATCATAATTTTTTAATCTTTCGTAAAAGATCTTTCTAAAAGATTTGTTTATTATTACAATAATATATTTTTAATGTATTTTATGATCTTATGTAATAATATATTACAACAAACAACACACACATATAAAATAATAATTTTGTGTGCGCAATTGGTAATACTTGTAATTTAAAGACGCAATATCTATCAGTTTACACAAAACGAAATGCGTATCTTTTTATTTATATAAGAATATAGTAGGCCCATAAGTACAATGCTGGCTCAACTTTTCCTCTCTCGGAGGAGAGGCTTAAAGGGAAGCTAATTTGCATACAGAGAGCTCAGTGAATTCGAAAATTTGTGTGCAGACTCTCTGCTCGACGCTTCTCTTTTCCCTCATGAGAGCGGATGTGCTTGCTTATTGCACACGTGAATTTTAAGTTCTTCTCAGGAATAATAAATTATTTAAATGTGCGAAGTGACAGATCTTTTTTTTTTCTAAAAGCGCAATAAAATACATTACGTGCTATCTGAATAAAAAGTTGTAGGTGTATTTTGATACTTTGCTGTTTGAGTATTTGTGATTGTTATATCACGTGGAAGTTTCATGCCGTTGACAACGTAGCGTCATCTGAAAAATATAAACATTATCGAATCTGTTAATAGAGAGAATAGTGGCAACTTTATAAATATAAAAATGTTTGAAACTTTCGGTAATGTATTTGTTATTGCGAACCTCGAGCGCTTGACGAAATTCTTTTGATATCACGTAACATGTTATTGGCAGAATCATCGGGTACATTTTAACCATCGTATAAACCACCTCTATAGTTATGTCGCTACAGCAAGTCGTTGTTACAAGAGCGATAGCTCTCACGACTCGATATGGTATCATAGTTAGAAAAAATCCGATAGTAATGCCAACTGTAACGCGCCACCGTTATTTTGAAACTTACATATGCTTTATTATATAACTTTGCCATGCTCGTATTAATATTGGAATTAAATCTTTACTCACCCAGAAAAACGAAACGCTCGACATCTTCGCTCGGCCACGTTCCCTCTATCGACCTTGATATTATCAGGTCGTACAGAATGAAACAGTCGACCATAATAAAGATAAAACACGGAAATATTAGAAACATAACGGTGAACGACACGAAGATATCGTGCATAACTTCTTTTTCGTAGTGCTCGTATAAGCTTAGTTCCAGAGATGCCACCATGATGGACATTACCCATATAAATAAAATACCTTTTGCAGCCGTTGAAACCTTCTGCAGCGGTTTGCGGAGCGGCGAATTCTTTTGACAAATAATAACGTACGTCTCGATATTCAGTTGAATTATTATCAGGATAGATGTGGCGAAGGTCACCAAAAATATATAATCGAGATTCATATTTAAATCGATATCGGAGATCCAGCGAAGTACCTGCTGTAGTGGCTCGAGCAGAATTATCAGGCTCGAAGACGCGAGACTTATTACGTAGCAATTGGTGGAAGTGTACATGGAAGAATTCAGTGCAACGATAAGAGCGAGAAAAATATTTAAACAGACACCTGCTACCACCAGTGTGAAATCCATAATGTCGCGTGTAGGCTCGGGAATGATCGGTATGATGATGTTCATCTTCGTAGGGTTTGTCGTCGAGATAGGATTCGTCCGAAAAGTTGGAAATGGATTGTCTACGTATTTTCGAATTGCTCTCATATCGTGTTCGTTGAACATGATGTACTTAACGCTTGTCACTTGTTTAATATTTTATCCGTACGAATTGAAGTAATTAATCGCGTGCTTCGCAAAAGTTTATATACACTCCGCTGGCTCTCGAGACTTTCACACTTCCGTTGAACTTTAGTGTTTCTACTAATAGGATTTCTTCGCCGGAGCCGAAGTACGAGTTATATCGCCGGAAGAAATATGAAAGAACTTAAATGCGACAAATTGGTAGCACACGTTGCCTCAACGGTCTGTACGCGTGTTACTGACTGCGTCCAGGCGGTAGCTTGTAGGATCACCATCTATTTACCTTCTCCTATGGGAGTGTGACGCCCTGTAATATCATAGGCGGACACTAACAATATTACACAATTTGCCGACACGCAACCGTTTCATTTCGTAGAGTGGATCTTTAGCGAAGTGCGAAGATCTTTAACAAGTCGAATATTGGAATCTTATTTTGACGGTGCTTGCACCGAAAAAAATTAACGCAAACTATTATGTATTGTCAAGATTATATGCGTAACAATCGCAATCGAGAAAATTTATTCATACTTTTTCAATCCCGTGCCATACGGACGCTGACATTTTTCAACTTTCGTTAACAGACTTTAGCAATTTGCATAATAAGCTATGAGAGTAAATATGAAAGCACATCGAACGTCTTGCGGGGAAGTTATAGACTTTCTTATTTACGAGAAGGAAGCGTCCAGCCTTGGAGACTCGCTCGAAGGGCTCCGCTTTCTGGTCGCGAATAACGACCGAGCAAGAAAAAATAACGACGCTGGGATAAATTGTGCTGCTTATGGCTCATTCGTTCTCGAAAAAGAGAAGAGTCGAGTTGAACTGTAGCGACTGGTAATGTTGTTGTGCCAATGAGGGGTATGAGAGAGGGAGAAAGAGAAAAAGAGAGAAAGAGAGAGAGAGAGAGATCTGCACACGGGTGTATAATACTGCGAGATTTGCAGGACGCTTCTGGCAAGCGGCCATGGGCGCGATATCGGTCAGCTTTTGCCGCTGATAGATTTATCGTGCGATTTATAAGTCCAGCCCTTTTGGCGCGCACCCTGGGGTGTTGTATCTCCGTGAAAATGGAGCGCGACTATCTGGCGCATTGTGTGCTCCAAAGACGCTCACAATCGACGCGTTATCGAGAGGAAGAACCTGAGGAAGGGAACACTATGCCGTCCATTGTCGCCGGAAGGATGAAGCGAATTAAAAATTGCGAGGGCGGAGCGACATGACAAATATTTATTGCATTGTATTCGCGACACGTTAATATCTATTTCGTTCCCGGACACTATGGCAGCTATATTTCAGCGGTGATGCTCCTACATTTTTTGACTCTTTCAGCCAATTTCTCCTTTTTTGTAAAGCGTCCGCTGGCAGTGAAAGAGATGAGCAAAAGTTACGTACAATATGTAGGATTATATTTATGTCACTTACGTGTACACGTTTTCCTTGCTCGCTATATTCGCGTATCGGAGATTATTTCATTTATAAACTTGATAGATCGCTTTATTAGACGCAGCATTTATAAAAACCTTACAGGTGGTTAGAGCCTCTATCTTCTTGGTGAAGAGCTTCGAGGCAATGTTCGGCTATATGTTTTCATCCTTGGACCAGGTGCGAGCGAGCGCGCGTGGTTAATTTTTACGGGTTTCTTCGCGCCCTTTTCTTCTTGTTTTCGTCTGCTTTGGGATCGGGTTAGTGATGGAGGGCGATCTCGGGGCCAAATAAGTGCAGTGGCAGAGCCCAAGGGCCCCAGGGCCATAACCGGTTCGCCGCTTCGGCATCATCACGATGTAACTTAAGCGACCCTGAAGAGGCTTCGAGCCTCACAATAATCAGTGAGCCGTATTATCATCACGCAGTACTCCAGCATTCCATCGGTGTGAAGTAGTTGTCGTATAATCGAATGTTGCAAATAAATTTAATAAAAGACGTTATATCACGGCACTTTAGCCGCACTATTGAAAACTTGAGCGATAAAAGCCGGATTATTAGATATTTGATGTTGATCATTTTATTTTATGGTTCTTACTGTACTTTCTATTGTTTACCATTTCACGGTTACGTCACATTTTATGATACTAAAATTTTCAATATCTCTTATTGGTCTAAAGTTATAGCTGTGCGTTGAAATTTTTACGCAACAGATATTTTATAATTGCTTTATAATTATCGATATCCCGTTTACACTTCCCATAAAATTTCATCGCTTACACTGGTTATACAGGTCTTCTCGTACAGGTTTGAGATTGGTAATTAGGAGCAGACGCCATCACGCATTCCAGTAAAATCTTTTTTTTTATGCCTGCGAGCGAAAGTCTACTTTAATTAAATCCAGCAGTTTATGATGACATATAAACTACATCATTCAAGGCACATATGGTCGCTCAGTTTGTATTTATTTAAAATAAATACACAACTTCGTAACAATTACTTTATTATTGATTTGTGCCAAGAATTATTTTTTTAAGATTTAAATTTCGGACGATATTTCGGCCATCTTTATTTTATCCACAATATGTAACAGCGTACGTTTACACCTGGTCGCAGCTGTGTAGACGTATAGAGGAAATACGTATTGGGTTAGTCTTCCTCGTCAACTCGCACGAAAGTTTACCTTGGGTCTGGCTAGTTTATTTATTTAAAACGTGGCACACCTAGCAGGCCTTCTGTCACACCTGTTCGAGCCGCTTCGCATGAAGTTGAGTGGCCGAACATTAGTCGAAGCTAACTATGCCGTGACAGAGTTCCCTTCTCGCGTTTATCATATAATCAGTCATGATTAGCATGCTGTAATGTTCTGTTACGGTATTTTTTCCACATTTGTGCTATTTACGAGCATACCATGTGAATTAAATCATTCCGTTGCGCTACAGTGTTGTGAATGAATATTTGCTCGCCAATGTGTAAGTTTCATTAAACGGTGTATTTTCAGCATTATTCGTAACACTGCGGATGTTTTTATTGGAATGGAAAATTGTAAGGGGATAGTCCGCGTTATGTACATTCCGTGTCGCGACAAAAGAATCGTAAAAGAACAATTTATTAAGAGCCTGCACGCTTTACCGCAGCCTCGTGCTCTCTCGTGCTTCGCTTCTGGTCTTCGTGTCAATAGACTCGATGTATTTTATGCATGACCAGTTGGACAAGTTTTTCCTGTAGACCGCAAGCGTGATGCACAACTCGGTAACATTCGATATTTTCGTATGCAGGTGCATCTTTGAAAAAATGTACGGGTTCATGTCTGAGGTTGGCGTTTCGATTGTAACACAAAACAACAGAAACAGAATTTTTCTAAATTCTTCAACACTTCTGAATGACTAATTGCTTAAAAATAAGCAGAACATTGAAATAAACGCATGATTTATTAAATATTTTTGGTTTAGTTATTTTTTTTATCGCGTGATTTCAATTAGTAAACATGCTTCTGCAAACAGAATATTTTAGCATGTTTAAGTTTATTTACGAAACTACTTGAAAGAATAATTACAAGTGTTTAACAAAAAGATGTGTAAAATATATCTAGTTTTCTGTGTGCTATTGGTTATTATAGCTTTTAAGTTAAAAAGAAGAAAAGAATAACTTAATATATATGAGGAGAGTAATTTTTTATACGTATTCAAATTACGTAATTGTGTATGAGATTTAATATTAGCGATCGTACGTTATAATCGGCAATCGAATGTCGGGTGTAAAAGTAGCCTTCCAAGAAATTCGGCTGCGAATTATGAGCGATTTTTGAGCGAAAAAAGGAGACGTAACAAAAGCGCACCTGTGAAACGCCAAGTAAATTACAGTAATCTGCGCTTCTGAACCTAAAAGTCGTTCGGAAGCACGAAGAAAGAGGACGACTCAAGTCTTTTTGGTCGCGAGAGGCCAAATTGTATCGTGATTTGACCGGCTTGAAAGATTATCGTTTAATTGGACGCAGAAATCAGCCATACTAAACCATGTATCGTCGAAATTTCCGCGATACAACTAGAAATTCCAACGTTAATTGTATAAATAACTTTTCTGTAATTATTTAATTTTTATAATTATTGGAATTAGTTTGAACTAATCTCTTTTTTAACAGATTAATCATAAAGTTTCTGAATTCGCTGTTCGGCAGATGTGCCACACTTTGCAAGCTTATTGATCATTCTTTGCGTTATTGACATAGAAAATTTCGATAGTTCCGTGGTTGCGGAACTTGAAAATCCCTGAATCCCTGCTGTGAAAAATGACCTGTGAAATCTGGGATTATCGCGTCGATCACGTTTTGGAGCGAAAAATATTTTCAACCTCGTCTCACCGTCGTTCTCGCCTTGTTTCATCGGTTAATCTTCAAACAACTTTCCAAGTCTGCACAATACACGCACGTGCTTCTTAGACTGTTTTTGTTGCAACTTTTTTTTGTTGAGAAAAGGGTCTTCGAAATGATTCTTTATTCGCAGAATCGTATCCGCGCTTCTTTCGGTCTATATTCCGCATAGGTATCGATCACGTTTTGAAGTAAAAAAATATCTTCAACATCGTCGTTACCTATTTTTGTTGTTCAAACTTCAAAGAACTTTCCGAGCCTACACAATACACATATATGCGTCTTGGGATATTTTCGTTGCAATTTTTTTTTTGAAAAGAGATCTTTGAAACGATTCTTTATTTTTGCAGAATCGTATCCGCGCTTCTTTCGGCCTACATTCTGTATACGGTCTTTTTAAATCTCTTCTATCTAATTGTATAATATTTGTTTACGATTCTTTCTTTCGATTAGTGCGCTAATGATTTTCCTTTGGCTTGCTGCTTTCATTTAATCCTGAATGCCACATTGTGAAGCTTCCGTGAAATTGTTTTTCGATTATTTATTCTATCCTTAAATTATTCACTTACTCCACTTTATTCTCACCGTTTCAATCATACACGTTCACCGGTGTAAGGAATATCTTCTCGTGCCACTTCTTCATATTCACACATATGCGAATGTAGTACCATAATAATCATCGTTTTACAGGAAAACCGTGCAGATAAACCGGGAACTAACTCACGTTAACTTGTTTCACACGGCTGCGAAGCACAATGCGATTCATAATTAATTCGTAGGCGTTTACCGACGAAAACGCACGCAGGATTCACTCGCGTTTCAAATGTAATTGCTAAAGCTTCGTTGAAACTAAAAGTAGTATGAATATTTCCGCGCTGCACGACGCGTTCAGTGAATAAAAAACCGACATTCATGTAAGATAGAATATCTGAAATCACATTTAATTAATCTCTCTCTTCCACGCATGTGATTATTTCACATAATTGTCTATAATTATTTTGAGCAGCTGTCAGGAGAATTATATATTCTTTAAATCTTTAAAATTATGAGTTATATAATTATTAAAATCGAACCAACGAATTCAACACTCCATCAGATTAATATTTTTCTGTTGCGAAAGTCGTCTTCTCTCATTATATTTCGCATCTGCATCTGCCGTGCAAACCACGAACCGCGCAATTGAAAAGAGAATATTTTTCTGCGAATATAAAGAAGAGTCTCGTTTTTTACGGCGTGGCCAACATCGCCAGAGCTTTCTTTCGCTGCCTCAGACTTTGCCAACTTTCTTCTTCCGCGATGTTCATATATTGTTATTTGCGTCGACTGCGTCGACTTGTTATCACGGGGACAAGTCTCATCGCGCTAACGCTCGCAAAACGCCTCAACGCAATGCGCGATGATGTGCTGACGCAAAACATCCATTTTAGTGGAATTAAACAGACACACGCAAAAAAGATTCCGCGTTAAGAAATTCTGCCGTGCAGATTTCGATGACCACGCGTAAAATCGTGCGAGAATTTTCCATGGAAAATCAGAATGATTCAGAATCCTCGTCTTCGTCTTTCATTCAGTCCACGCATTTAAATCCATTTTATTATGCGCGCTAAACTTTTACAACCAGGCGATATCCGCCAAACGGCTCTGCGCGTCAAAGTCTTTGGACTTGTATTGGCAGCGCGGCCTAATTTGCATGTTTTTCTTTCGAACGGGGTGGCGTCGCGGCGCCTCTGACGATTTCTTCTCCTCTACGTCCCGCGTCGCGTACGAAAGGCAAACGAAAATAACCGCGTCTAAACTTTATGCCGTAATTCACGACGTCCCACGTCTTCCACCCTCGTCTCATCACCGAGTGATTTTAGATGTCTCTTTTTCTTTCCTCGTTTATTCGCAGTCGTGCGTCTTCTTCGTTTTTTTAAAGAAATTGCGCGCTGTTACAGCTGCCGCGATGCTTGTGAAAAAATTAAGAAGTTGCGTGTCGCGGACGTGAAAGAAATCCGGCGCTGCGTCGTTGTACGTCTATAAATACGCTGACGTATATTATGGTAGGAGACAACGAAGATGCGTTACGTTAGTATGCATAACACGCACGCGTAGGGGAAAGACGACTGTCGTTTAAGAAATTTCTCCACAATACGGAACCTGCGGAGCATCGTATAATACTTACTGTAGACGGCTTTTGTCTTGTGCAGCTAACAAAAAGGTTGCAATTTTAAATGTATTATGTATGTAACTAGCTTTTTATGTAAAAAAATAATTTTATTTTTATATTGTGGTTTTTAGCATTGTTATATCTAAGCTTACTGTTCACAACTTTTTTTCACTTTTATGGAGGCAAATATTTTAAATAGAATTTATTTATTTTTTAATTTTTTTTGGTACTTTTTTCTATTTATTTTATTTATAATTTTATTTGTAATATTTATGCTATTTTACAGAACAATTAATATGCTTAATGCATAAATAGTTTATTTACTATGGCAGATTAATGTAATTTTTAATAAATTTAGGAAATGCAATTTGGTTTGTGTTGTATAAATAAGTAAAAGTAATAATAAATTTGAGCAAAAATAACATTTTTGATTGATACATTGATATCTTGCAATTGGATAATTTTAGAAGTAACATCGCGTGCAGCATCTAACTGCGACAGACCACATCTCCCATAATCCGGTATGGTCTAGTGGCTAGGATACCTGGCTCTCACCCAGGAGGCTCGGGTTCGATTCCCGGTACCGGAATTTTTTGCTCAAATTTATTGTAAAATTTAGGGCAATTTTATATTTTGCAAAAATTTAAAATGTACTAATTTGCAATTATGTCTTATATCACAGATTTAAATAATTAATTAATGGAACTGTCATGGCTCTTTTGTTCCACTCTCTGACTAGGTCGATAGCATTCTGATAGAATTAATGTTTATAAACACAATATTTGATTTGGATTGCAAGTGAAAAGCGGTTGATAACAACAGAAGAATAATTAAAGTTTCGCTAATAATACGACGCTTCCATTCTTTCATCGAGTATGAAAAATTAGTTCGTTTAACGTCGCGGCCGACACGTTCCGCTCGCATGGCGTTATCTAAAATTAGATCCGTGCATGACAATAGCCCATTTTGGTGCATGTTGTCGCGCAACAACTTCGAAAGGCGTGAAATCGAGTGTTCTTGGTTGGCGCGATTCATGTCGTGTAAATAGAAATTCCTGTTGCGCGCCACGCCAAGGACGGTTAACGCGGGACGACACTTCAGGAGGCCAACTGGTTGGCTTATTCGCAGTTTGCACATGGCCAACTGAAGATAATTGTCATTCGCAGTAAATCAGCCATTTTATAGCGGGTGCAGTAAAGTTGCGAGTATATTTATGCTTGATTCATGCTTTTCGCGCAATTTCGATTGCAAAGAGCGACAGATCGACGTAATTATCAAGCATCATTGTATTCTATTTCCTGGCTCTTGGTGATTTCTATTCTATTAAAGTGGGAAGTGACAGTGTCGTAATATGCCTTTTTTATTAGTGTTTCCTGATTTTTACAATAGTTTGTCGACATTTCGCGGTCAAAATAATCTCATCCGATTGATATCTTTGATTACTTAGCGCTGCATCCTTTGCTATTCGATGATAACTGAATGATTCACAGCTTAGTATTGTGTACTATTCGATTTATATAAATTTTTTTTTATATCTATGAATTCTAAATTAGAGATTAGAAATTTAATGCGAGCGATGTTGTTAATTAATTTATAATTTATATTGTTTATAACTAGCTTATATTACTCGTTCGTGCGTTAAATTATTGGTAGAAATCTGCAATTTTAATCGGCCACCTTGAAAAGTTCCAATTATTAAATTTATAAGCTATCAGAGCATGACTTCCATCATCTGTGAATTTGAAACCGTGAACAAAATCAGCCACGTCTGGCTTTCTTCGCCGGCTTGGCCATAATAAGTGCAACGCCATGGCGGGGGACGTTGGAAGAGAAATGTGACCAGAGTATTGTATCCGAAGCCTGAAAGCCAAGACGACGAGGCTGGCGCCAGGCCTGCTCTCAAGCACGTATTCGCTCCGACCACTTTTCTCTCTGCTCCTCGAAATTAACGCCGTCCACTCAGTCTTGTAGTAGCATTTAGCGTGGCGGTTCTCTTCCCTTCTCCGTCGCGCGTCTCACCCTTCATATGGCTCTTTATGATGATTCTGCCTTTTTTGACGCTTCAAGGGATTTTTCTTCTCACGCGCAAAACTCGGTGTTTCGTTTTCTCAAAAGGAAAAAAAATGCAATAAGTTTATTTAAGTGTTCAATTAAGAAGGAAATTGAAATTGTGAGATCAACGAATGTTCGTATGGAATCGATTTCTTCGGAGGTACGGATCATAAAACTTTATCGTATTTCCGCATACGCATAAACTGACTTTTCCAATCTACTCCTGTAATTATAAATTGCAGCTTCCTCGCTAATTTTATTTTATGAGTTCCCGCGAGTACTGTGGCTCGAGTTCAGTAATTGGTGCTATAGTTTAAAGCACAATAAAGATTGCCTCTCGAGTTTATGCTGCGGGACAATAAAATTGTATACAATGTTGAATGTTATTTTGCAATGATCGAAACATTTTGACAATTACTTATTATTAATAAGAAAATATTTTAAACGTTTACTTATATATTTATAAAAAAATTTGTAGGAATTTCTTGATTGCAAATTATACAGTTTATTCCACGAGAAATAGGAATATTGTTACTAAGAAATATATTTATCGTGAATTTTTCAGATGTCACTATTTTGATCCATTGAATATGACTTCCACAATGGGGTTGCAGCAGCAAGCTGCATCCCAGGACACGGTGGATTTTGGCGGTTATCTGCAATCTACACAGTGCCATCAAACAGAAGGACAGGTGCAAGGATGTCAAAAATCACCACATCGAGAGCACAACAGCAGCTTTACCAGCACGAAAGGTCTTCTCAATGGGCCTGGACAGAACAATTGTTTCCTCAACAGCGCCGTGCAGGTAAGAAATTGCAATTGAATATTTTCGTTTAAATATTGAATCATGCTAAATGTTAATCGTCAAATATTAATTGATGATGTGGAAAACTAGATGTAGGTAATGATAGGAAAGATTTTACTTGTTTCATGTTTTTAAAAAATGGTTTTTGCGGACACATAATGTTAATTACTCTCATTCGTTATCTAAGATATAGGAAACAGAAAATAGATGAAAAAGATTATTGCATTAAAATTGACAATTATTCATTAACTTTTGTGTAAATAAGAGATACAAGAGGCAAAATTTAAAAATCACATACTTTGTTAAGAGCTAAAATTTCACAAGTATGGATTATATTGAAAAAAATATTAGTAGAATTGTATTTTATGCATAGCCTATTGGGGGAATGCAATCTTACAGAAAACTTTTCGCAAGGTGAGCAGACGCCTTGAGCATATGCAACCCGTCGTTCGAGTGCGCCGTTTAGTCTTTTGGCGCGAGTAGGCGCGAGAGAAAAAGCACGTGTAATGCTACACGTAAAGAAACCAAATCGAATCGAAATTGCAAATAATTTATATAATCAAGTAGGAATTTATGAGGTGTTAATTAAATTACTAGCTATAGGCAAATAAAAAACTCATTTATGATAATATCTGAGTAAAGAAACAACCGAAACAGTTACTCTCAAGTTTTAAAACAAGGTCATTATATATTCACAATTAATAAAACTGTGCGAGCTGTGATCTTTGACTTTTAAAAGTTACCGTATTCTCGCACGCTACTTTTTCGAATAATTTTACGAGTCTCGTCTGCGATTTACGAATACGATCCATCGCCGAATTTTTAAACTTGCTGTCTCGAGAGACCTTTGAGGCGTGCGTAAATATTCATGACCGGTAAGTGACAGAGCACGCGGTCTTTTTTTTCAACTGGAGATTGTCAGACTGCTTTTAACTCTCTCGTGAATATTAGTGCTTTCGGCCGCCAAACGAAAACTTCTTGCTTTTTAATGACGAATTTCGCAATGTAGTCACGCTACTTCCTCAGTTAAGGACATCGACCATCGGCTTTAAAGTCGAGAGGAAGAGGTCACATTTGTTCGTATTACGCATTAAGAAGCCGTGCATCAGGAGTGACGTGTTAAATGTGATTTATTGCTTGTGAGCAAATTTGAGGAGGCAATTGCTTTCGAAGATTAAACGCTTATATATCGCCATAAGAATTCAGATAATACAACAGATAATATACTTCTTTATTCTTCTACATTTATCCGTGATATGCAAATTTAATTTGCATATTATTGTATTTATTATAATGATAATATAGATTTAATTCAAAGGGTAAATTAATGTTTATTTGATGAGATGATTTATTTTGCAGAAATATTAATTTTACTTTGAAAAATGCAAATGCTAATCTAAAAAAAATAATATTCTGTAAGTTAGCGAATTCTACTTGTTCACATGAGGCACGCGTACCAATGCTGCGCTTTTACGTGACACGTGATACAAGTGTTTTAAACGCAAACCGCGCACGCAGCCAGGGTGTGGTAACTGACTGCTTTGTCTCGTGTTACGAATAGAAAATAAACGACGCGGCGCCGTCGATTCTCTTCGTGACCGTAGTAATAGTTTCACGACAGACGTTTACGATCGGGAGAGAATTTGCATCGATTCTTAATTTTGCGATTGTATACGGTGCGCAAAGAAGTATCGCTAATTTTAACAATTACGCAATCGATAAACAGACAGTAATTACACAGATATCGAGCGCGGTGTGTCATAAAAAACTAATTGCGTTTCCGGGTCGCAATTTTCCTCTGCTCGATTCTGATAGATCATTTAATCGGCTTGTAAAGTTCCGAAACAGATTAATGGAAGCTGGGATCGTGTGGTTCCGGCGTACTGTGCAGCATTTTCATTGGTCGGCGCGAGTTTACGGACGGAGCGACGACATGAAACTTGCTTTGCCGGGCTCTCGCGATACTAACTGCATAACAGCCTACCGAGTGTTTTCGATTTTATCAAAGTGTCTGATAATTGTTAAATGCCTGTTATCGTTCACGGACTGCGAGCTGGAGCGAGTAACGCTTTAAAAGCTCGCGATAAAAATGCGCATGTATCTCTGTGTTCCCATCCTTTAGTCACCAGCAGAAATAGCGCCGTGATAGCACGAAACGTGCATCGATAACGTCACGAACGTGTACTACGTATAACTCGACGTGTGTTGTACGCCGAGCATGTTAAACAAGCGACTCGAAGAGCGCTGTTAATCGTTAACTGTGTTAGAATTTAGATAAGTAAATTCATATCGTCGCTACAACGCATTTGTTAATTCAATACTGCATTTTACGCGCTACTTATTCGATCGAATTTAATTATAGTTGTATAATAATTTTCACAATTTTAACACAAAGTCAAATTTTTACTTTGTTTTATTTCAGACAGATTTTTGACTTTATATTTTTATCAACACTATATTTTTTTTATCAATAACAATTTCTTGGGTCGTTTTCACGTATCGAAGATGTTTGTTGTTTTGCGATGCACGCTCGTGCAATCTTCGACCTCTCGAAGATTTCGTAATCACCAAGTGGGGAAGCATTTCATCGTTGAACGATCACGATCCGCTCGTTCGACGCGGAACGCGCATAAAGCATTGACGATCACCAGGAGTAAATCACGGTTTACAAGTACGGCGTATTCCAGGAGCTTTCAGAATAGGTTCGAAGCACCTCCCAGGTATTACTTCCAAGTTCAAGGTTGGGGTGCTACAATAAGATCGTATATTCCTCGCGAGACGTTGATTTGTGTTCCCGCTTCTTACCGATATTTCATTTCGTGCAAATTACTGAACCGTCTTGCTTTATGCTATTTTTATTTCTGTCATTGGAAATGTTTCGCGCAGGTATTCTTACAGGTAAATAAAAATCTGCGAATATAAGTTTGATTAATTTTGACTTAAATTCGTAAGGTTAAAATCGCAAGTGAGCAAAATCATGATAGTTGGCGTGTTTGGGAAAATTGTGAGAAAGTACTTCTTTTTACTGTCAAGCTGACAAACAACGTCCGTCGTTTTTCCATTACGAACATAGGAAAAGAAGTGGCAGAAGAGTAGTTTTTCTCTAGCTGTTTTTCTAGATTACCGTACGTAACGGTGCTGCAATGTCCAAGCAACGTTACTTTGTCACTGGTTAATGTTTTTTACATACTGATTCACTTGTTAGCATTTATTTGCGAAGAAATTTGTGAGACTTATTAAACGCATATCGGTTTCATATGAATTGAATATTAAAAAAATTCACGATAGCTACACATGAATATACAATATGATACAAATGTGACATGAATGATTCATTGTCAGTGAATATTGACCATATATACGCGTGCTGTAGTAATAGCATGCATAACGTATTATTACTTTTGTAACACCTGTCATAGAAGGCAACAACCTGTCGATCCGCGCTTCCGGAAGCAATTAAGCTATTTGCGCATGGGGTTACTCGGCTCTGCATGACTTGATTAATGCCATCTGCCATAAATATAAAATATACACTCAAAAAAATATTTCGCTGATGTAGTTAGATTTCTAAATATCGCAACAAGAATGTATCGCTATTTTTCGTATCTGTGAAAACATTGTTTGTCACATATAGAATTTATAGCAGTAATGTTCTAGCAATAGCTTCTGAAAAATTTAGGTACCATTGCTAAATGTTATTCATTGCATGATCTAACACGTGATTGATCTTATATAGATAGGCGCTTTAGAGAAACTTTCTTTTTAAAGTTCACAAACAATACAGATATATATTCTGTTTCTGTCATCTAAACTGATTAAGTAATTACATATGCAATATCACAACAGTTGCTAATCATTTATCTGTTTTAGTTAATTTTTTACACCTAGAAAATTTTAGCTATTATTGCAAGATCATTTTTTTGAGTGTATTTTCTATTGTCGATTCGCAAACATTTTTGCACCTTTGCTGGTGTAATTTTTTTGCAGTCGCAATTAATTTAGATTGTACAAGCGCCGTAAACTGATTTCCATTATTGGAATTAGACACGGTAATATTAAGAAACGCCTAACAATGGAGCATTTGCATTTTTGGCCTTGCTTTACACGGAAAGATCCTGTGTCATCGCCCTCGCGTTCGTGTTTTCTGTACCCACGTCAACCTGAAGTGGAGGTTCAAGGTTTCTCTCGCGGTGCAATTCAAAGTTCCTCTCGTGAAGAGACATAATTTGTTCTCTCATCGTCAGTGACGAGTAATCGTAAAAAAGAAGCCGGCATCGTTGAGTACAGGCGTTGTTTTTCGATAGTTTCGCTTCCACCGCACTTATTCGAAAACGAAGGGCCGCTCCACTTGCGCCCGCACGAGCTTCATTTCGCTAATTAACTCGTCGGGTCGGATGAGTTTCTCATTCTATTGGGTTCAACACGGCGTCGTAAAAGGGTGGAAAGCGGCTCGCGTTGTCTGCCGAACGCGCGCACTTAGCGTACTTTACGCTGCTCGCACTACAATCGTTCCCATAGTAGCAACGCACAATGCACTTTTCTCTTCGACCTTCTCTCTTGTCGTCCTGGTATCGTCGACCATTTCACAGCTACTCTGTTTTGCGCGATTTCCGTATCCGTTGATCCGGTTTCTCCATTCTAAACAGATCCGTTACCATTATAACTTGTTACGATACTTAAATTTGCGTGTACGCTCGTTATAGCGCTTGCGTTATCTTAGATTCCCATATAAAGAACTCTGGGCGCGCGGAGGGAACGCTGGTAATTATGTGACTCACTTGTGTGATTTGGACTCTTAAGGACCGTCTTTCCGAGTATGAAACTTCCTGTCTGAACGCCGTCGAAAAAGGAAGCGTCGAAACCTACGCGCTGGTGTAACCGTTGAGCCACGTAACGCTGTGAATTATCATATGTTTAGCTCTCCTAAAAAAAGTTTTCCACTTGTCCTCTCACATAATCTCGAAGGATCACGTTTCGTGACATGCTCCGAATAGCGCGAT